ATTATACCTCCAACCCTTCCACCAACTTTGCCACCAACTCTACCTCCATTCCTTCCACCAACTTTGCCACCAAATTTACCACCAACTCTCCCTCCGACTTTACCTCCTACTCAACCACCGACCTTGCCACCAACATTACCACCATATCCGCCATTCCCGCCATTTCCACCATATCCCATATATCCAGTTTATCCACCATATCCAGAATATCCAGAATATCCCACATATCCGCCTGCACATTTGCCATCCTATGTGCCACATGCCCCAAAAGTACCAACGCCAGTACCAACTCCAATTGCACCACCCCAATCATCATTGACTAATTGCTTCGAAATAACCGATTTTGATGCTGACGGCACGAAGGGAAAAATACGAGTGGTTTGTGTGCCGAAGCCAGCAGTTTCACCGCAGTATCCTTCACCCCAAATATTAGTTTTACCTCCCTCAGTACCACCTCCAGCGCCAAGAACACGATGCTATCGCCGGCGTTGCAACAAGTGGAGCACATCAAAAGCTGATAAGGAGTGTTGTAGTGAAAATCCTCATCATCATGCTGAACCGGTTCCTCCACAGCAATCACAGCCAGCGGATTACGTGAAATCGGCGCAACCTGTGCAGATAAGACTTGATCACTTCTATCCTTGAAATAATTTATCCATATTGTAGACACTCTTTGAAAATAAATGATGACTGAAAAAAAGTGGACAGAGTTTTCTTAAACTACTGAACATTAAAAGAGCTTAGGAACATTTTATAGGAATATAGAAAAAATTATATACTTGTGCTCCTAGAAGAAGTGCTAACTTTTGTCACGGTTTCTTAATGAGTTCGAGGTCATTCCTAGCGCATTGTCAAAATCTGGAAGATTTGAATTTGTAATAAGTGTGATTTTGAATTGCCTTTATGTTCGACTTTTTCGACGAGTCTTTTAAAAAGGTAAAAGAAATTATTATAAAAACCCTATTTATGTATATTAAAGAGTCGCTAATTGAAAACTATACTTTATTGCATAAGAGTCTAATCTCGCAGTCACGTACGCCCCCATGCGTATACTTCGGCACGCTCCAATAAAAATTTACCCAGATTGTGAATAAAAAATTGTATTTCATTTTATTAATGAAGAATCAGGTGCATAGCCGAGTATAATACGAGTAGAAATCAGAAGTTTCGAGACAATGGCAAGCTTACGACCAAAATACAAAATTTATCAGGCTTAACCAAATTTTATCGACCTAAATTTACAATATTCTGTTAATATCTCTTTAATTATTTATCATAAAGGTTCCCTCATTACCTCTTTAAGTTTAGAATTCCTCTAAGGAGTTATTTTTTAACAAATAAATATACCATAACCTTAAACGCTAAATTTATTTGAACAAGCCTAATGTACGTCGAATAGAGAAGAAATACGAGTAACTGAAAATGCGAGTTTTGTTAGGTAAGATCAGGTTAAGAGGACAATCGTAACAAGACTTTCGCTGGAACAGCTCAAAATACAGGTCCGTTTTTCCACACTAAAACTCCTATAAAATTGATCATGATGACACTCATAAATCAACAAAGCGTTTTGAACCGTATCGGTTTCCACCATAGACTTGTAAAAGCTGGCTAATGGAGTAATGAATACCTCAATTTCTGCTGTACAACGTTGAAATTTTGCGTATAACTGTATTTTTAGCTGCTCCTATATTCCAGTCTAGGCCTAAAAGAACTGGCAGTCTCAAAAGAGGCTGATTATCGGCCAAAGATGTTAGCCGCACGCCCGCCGTCTAATGCGGAGGATGCCGATTGATATCGAACTCGGTCCCATTCTGATGGTAGCGCGGTAAGGGTTACAAATCTAGCTAGCTCATCGGTTTTGCAGTTAGCATGTATTTGACACCCAAACGAACCTGATAATGAAGTAGACTGACGATATATAAAGTGAGATTAGACATTTCCTTATCAACTATGTGCGCATCTCACATTTCTAAAAGAAGCTACGCTTCATGGCAGTAAGTATACTGCGACTTTAATAGTAGCTACTTCTATCTGAAAGACACCACAGTCCACCCGTAGTCTAAAGATAACCTTGACGGAAAGCTCTCTGTAGCAGACTTCTCCTCCAAACTTCATGCTAAAGCTCACTACCTCTCTTCGCCAGCGACTTATCCCCGTTCACATATTCCACGTCTACATATGAGCGGACAAAAAACCCCCGGAATAGTTTCTGGGTCGCAATGGTCTAAGTTGTCATGGACACAATTGAAGAACGCGAGAACTTCTGCGTTTTCCTGTTTGAATCCCTTCATATATCACGTTTCTCTGGACTTTAGAGCAACCCTCGCAGCAAAGTACCTGACGTAAATACATATATATATATATAAAATACGTACATAGCTATTTCTGAAAAAAAGCTTTTATCAGTGATCTTCACAGTTTTCACAGTATTGCGTCCTTCATGATATTTTTTGGTATTGATGTTATTTACTTAGAAAAGAATAGAGTTAGTAAAAAGTTTTTCTATAATTTTAAGTTCTGCTACGAAGAACACATGATCTAGATAATCTATATTAAGATTTTGAAGTTGTCTTCGGTATAAAATGAAACCGTTTATATATAGCTTTCCACTAAAATAAAAAGCTATTGAAAATATAGTATATAGAAGAATAATTAGTACAGGTCTTCTTCTGGCTCGAGACACTTTCAGTTTTTTTATTATATATTGATTGAGGTCAAAAAACTTATTTTTGAAAAAATGTATTATTTTGCTTACCCGAACGAACAATTTTCAAAAATAAAGACCAATAAAAACCAATTCTATGAGTTGCCTTTCTTTTATACCGTTATTTGTTTTCTATTATTTAATAACGCATATGATGCTTTATAAAATATGCAAAAATATTTTTTCAATAGCACGTTCGCAGCTCACAAATACGCAAATATTTTGAATTGCAAGAAAAAAAAAAAATAAGAAAAATAAAGAAGCAAAAAACGCAAATATAAACATTTATTTGAAATTATTAAAATTCAGTTAACAGTTATGCACGCAGTCGTGCGGTGTACACACGCAAGTGACTAAAAAGTATTAGAAGTGAACACTTTTGAAAGTGCGCTGATGTTTTCTTTGTGTCGAAATAAGGCACAGAAACTTTTGAGCCGAACAAACAAAGCGAGAATTTCTAGGCGGCACGCACTGCCAGATATTTGGTACAGACGAGGTTTTAGTGAGAGAAAACATGATTTTTAAAATAAAAGAAGATAAACAAAAAGTGTAAACACAATGCTTTTGTCGAACGAGTCAGACAGGACTTTTTACAGAGAACGAAATCACAAAATTTTAGTGTTGAGTGAACCAAGTTTTCCAATACAATACTTTAAATCAGACAATTTTAGTTTTAAAGGAACCAAGTTTTCAAAACAATACTTTAAAGATCTATGTCTACAAAAATAATTCGAAATGGTAGCGAAAATGAGATGCATAAAAGCATTCTAAACTAGTTTATTTTTGGTTCCTCTGAGGATTGTGTAGAGTTTTTGGAAAAATAAAGGTATTTCTCCTATATTTGTCGTGTTTGCTTGTGTGATATTGTACCTTGGATTATCTTAGAGCTTCAACCATCCAGACGAACTAGCTGTCACTGAAACTAGTCAGCTCAGCTTAATGACTTGTGATATATTCAAGCCATTTTGTTGACACTTCAGGATTTGGCTTCTTGTTATGTTTTTTTGGTATCACATGCAACCGTGTGGCAACTGAGCGCAGTACTCTTCTTGACAAGGATCCAGATCATTCATTATTAGAGATTAGCTGGATACATCATATTTCGTTCTATACTAACTACATTTCAATATGCCAAATTGGTTGCATTGTATTAGTTGATCCAGTTGACCAGGTGAATTAAAAAGTGCTAGAATTAAGTGGAACCCTGATAATTTTAGTTGGGAAGTTTTTTATCTAATACAAGAACTACTAATACCAGAACCCGTTAAGGGTGTTTATGAATATTAGTAAAAACAAGTAAGAAAGTGCTAAGTTGGGGTGTCACCGAACATTTTATACTCTCGCATGATAAAGTGATAATCGAGATTTCAGGCGTGGTTGTGAACCGATTTCACCCATATTTGGTACATGTCATCAGGGTTAAGAAAATATTATATACCGAATTTCATTGAAATCGGTCGAGTACTTCCTGAGATATGGTTTTTGGTCCATAAGTGGGCGACGCCACGCCCATTTTCAGTTTAAGAAAAAAAAAACCTGGATGCAGCTTCCTTCTGACATTTCTTCCGTAAAATTTAGTGTTTCTGACGTTTTTTGTTAGTCGGTTAACGCACTTTTAGTGATTATCAACATAACCTTTGTAAAAAAGTTAGTATGAGTATAATTAACAAACACGGAAGGAAGATATTAGCGAAAAGACAAACAACGACATTTCTTGTATATAAGGAGCGGGAAGCGACAAATTAAAAACTAATATATTTTACCTATAAGGACAAGACATATTTGTAAAGTTTTGATATCGTATTTCTATGAATTTATAGCGTTAAGCGCAAAATCAGAAATTAAGCAATATAATTATGAGGTTCGCAGCCTGTTGGCGGCTAATCGTCATAGCGGTATTGGTCTGGTATGGCGCCAAACTCGTTGAGGCTGAAGAAAGATTTCAAAAATTGCCAATGAAACTAAATATTGATTTTCTGGCTGAAAGATTTCAAAATATAACCAAGTTAACAGCATTTCACTTCAAAACTAGTAAAAGCAGCATAATCCAAAGACGTAAGTATATCAAAACGAAGTCATTATTGAACCCTTCAGGCTATAAGTAATTGTCTGTATATAATTTTCAGTACTTAAATCGGCAAAAGATAGAAGCGCCCTTCCCTTTCCCAGTTCTATTCCTAAACTCGAAACGCTTGCGTCTCATAAAAGGTCAGCATACCAGCCTTTAACTGGTAAACGAACGATCAGGTCTACAAATGATATGGCAAATCGTACGGAAATTTCAAAAATCGGTTGGTATTTGAAAATTTATATTATATAACAAGATTTGATTAAAGATATTGTCAATTTCCTCCTCACTACTAAGGCCATCATATAAGAATAAGAGACGGTGAAATCTACATTATTCCTGGCGAGGTGCCCACTAAAGGAGCCATATTAGGAGTATCATATGAACTGACAACCACCACAACAACAGCGACTCCACCAAATATGCCACCATGTGTACCACAAACGGTACCGTCAACTGCACCAACTACTGTGCCACCTACTGCGGCACCAACCACCTATACTGCTGCACCAACTTCAGCCTCTACTGAACCAACAACTGTACCACCAACTACTGCGGCACCAACCACTGCATATACTGCTGCACCAACTTCAACCTCTACTGAACCAACAACTCTACCACCAACTACTGTGCCACCTACAGCGGCACCAACCACTGCATATACTGCTGCACCWACTTCAACCTCTACTGAACCAACTACTGTGCCACCAACTTCACCAACTACTGTGCCGCCTACTGCGGCACCAACCACTGCATATACTGCTCCACCAACTTCAACCTCTACTGAACCAACAACTGTACCACCAACTACTGTGCCACCTACAGCGGCACCAACCACTGCATATACTGCTGCACCAACTTCAACCTCTACTGAACCAACAACTGTACCACCAACTACTGTGCCACATACTGCGGCACCAACCACTGCATATACTGCTCCACCAACTTCAACCACTACTGAACCAACAACTG